AGGCGCTATACAAGTGCGGGTCACTATTATTTATCATTATCATTAAAAAAGTTTTAAAAATGCACCGATAAAAATGTTATCTTAAGCAGCTGATTACATGCAAGAATATTTTTCATTCTTTCTCTAATACATGAAACATTTAACCTTTTATTTTATAAGTAATTAGAATAAACTGTGAGAGATATTTTTATGTATTTGCTGGAGGTTTCTTCCTGTTAAAGGGGAGTTTTCTTCTCTACTGTCGCTACATGCTTGCTTAGAATGGGGATTGCTGTAAAGTCACTGACATGATAAAGCTGTGACTCGATGCAACCTGCTGGGTTTTATTTGGAAAACTTTTACTAATTGGAATAATGAACTGGCCGTTTAATAATTAGGTTCACTTGGAATGTTTGCTTTGGAAAGTGCCTTGAGATGAGGTGTGTTGTTAATTGGCGCTATATTAATAAACTAGGGCCGTGACTCGATAAAATTTTTTTATCTAATTAATTAGAGGCTTTGTAATTAATTAATCTAAATTAATCACATTTTTAGAGTGTTTCTGTTTTAACTTAAACTTCTGTTTTCAACTTTAAGACACGTTGCTTGTGATTGTTTACGGAGTAGTGAGAACACGGGGCGTTCTCCCAGCGGCAGCCAGGTGCCTCTCGTTTGTCTGACTACTTTCATAAACTACTGTTAGGGCACATAATTATTCTGTCTGGTGCTTCCAGCGCTGCACAGATGTTACGTAAATGTTAAAAATATAGCTTACCGCAACTTTTGTAAAGTTTCCGGTGCCACCGGGCAGCCGCAGCAGAGACGATCTCTGAAAAATGTCCGCGATACGGACTCCGTTGTTGTCTGGAAGTTTTTTTTTCCAAGTTAAGAAAAGAGGCGGGCGTGTTTCCTAAATCCTGCATCAGTCCAAGCAAGGCAACCTCTTTCTGTTTTTATTCCGTTTTAGTAGCCATTAGCACTGTGCATTGTTGTGTGCGTCAGTCATATTCGGTCTACGAGGAAATCGTGCAATGACAAAGGTTCCGCATTGCTCGAAATGCACGCTGTGATTAAATGCGTAATTTTTTTTTACGCGTCATTTATTTCTAATTAATTAATCATAATCAACGCGTTAAAGTCCCGGCCCTAAAATAAACCGGATTTAACTGAATTGATATTGTTTAGCTGATCAAATGTGTGTTTGTGTTGCAGGTCTACTTTGATGAAAACATTGAAACCGATGTTAATCTGTCCTTAAAGGACTTTTTCCATGAAGTCTTTCATGAGATGGTGTCGCCTGAATCTGAAATGTTTATGTTCAACGACTCTCAGACGCTGGCGTGGTTCTCGTCCAAGGTGGGACTTTTATTTTTAACAGGTGATTGTGGGATAAACTCTGAATTTACAGGTTTCTTTGTAACAACTCTTGAAACTGTCTTCCTTTTGGAATATTAGGCTCCACAGGAAGACCAACGTTTCTACCTGTTTGGGGTTCTGTGTGGACTGGCTTTGTACAACCAGGTGATCGTTTACTTACCTTTCCCACTGGTCCTGTTCAAGAAACTTCTTGGAGTGGCGCCTTCGCTGGAGGATTTGACAGAATTTGACCCAAGTGTTGGAAAGTAAGCAGAATAAAATGTATATCTTTACATTCAGACTTCTTTCACCATCTTGGTTGTGATCTATGTTCTGTTTTCTTTCAGGAATCTGTCGTACATTCTGCACGACTACACAGATGATGACTTGGAGGACCTGTACATGTACTTTTCAGTAGGTTTTACAGATTCAAAATGGTACTTTTTGGTTTATAATGTCCATCTTATTTTAAACTCATTTCTCAAAGCAGTGATATACTGTAAATATGTGTTTCCTTTAAAGATCAACTGGGATGGGATGGAGGTTGTACTTGATCTTGAAAATCCTGAAAAGCAAGTCACCAACCAAAACAAGTAATCCTCATTCAACTTTGTTGGTGAATTACGTCTAGTTGTTCCCTGATGGGCTTTGCAACATTCAAATGTTAAAATATGTGGGCCCAGATAACAGCCCTGAGGTACATCAAAGATAAAAGTCCTGCAGGGAGTGAGAACATTTTGACTCGAAGTCCAAGAGAGAAAATAAAAAAATGTAACTCGTGTCATGTTTTAATATTCTCATATTATGATTTACTTGGCCAATCGGGACATGCCATCTTAAGAGATGTTGACAAACAAACCTCAGAACATCACGCCTTCTTTCAGATACAGGGTGCTCTGATTTGTGGGTAAGAAAATATCTATGTGCAGTGACGTTAACTTTTAATTTACAGTGGTGTGAAAAACTCTTTGCCCCCTTCCTGATTTCTTATTCTTTTGCACGTTTGTCACACAAAATGTTTCTGATCATCAAACACATTTAACCATTAGTCAAAGATAACACAAGTAAACACAAAATGCAGTTTTGAAATGATGGTTTTTATTATTATGGGACAGAACTAAATCCAAACCTACATTGCCCTGTGTGAAAAAGTAATTGCCCCCCTTGTTAAAAGATAACCCAACTGTGGTGTTTCACACCTGAGTTTAATTTCTGTAGCCACCCCCAAGCCTGATTACTGCCACACCTGTTTCAGTCAAGAAATCGCTAAAATGTGAGCTGCCTGACACAGAGAAGTAGACCAAAAGCACCTCAAAAGCTAGACATCATGCCAAGATCCAAAGAAATTCAAGAACAAATGAGAACAAAAGTAACTGAGATCTATCAGTCTGGTAAAGGTTATAAAGGCATTTCTAAAGCTTTGGGACTCCAGCGAACCACAGTGAGAGCCATTATCCGCAAATGGCAACAACATGGAACAGCGGTGAACCTTCCCAGGAGTGGGCGGCCGACCAAAATTACCCCAAGAGCGCAGAGACAACTCATCCGAGAGGTCACAAAAGACCCCAGGACAACTTCTAAAGAACTGCAGGCCTCACCTGCTTGTAATATTAAAAGTCATTTCAACCTTATTAACTTAGGCACAGATTAATCTGCTTGTGTTCACGACTCCACCATAAGAAAGAGACTGGGCAAAAACGGCCTGCATGGCCGATTTCCAAGACGCAAACCACTGTTAAGCAAAAAGAACATTAGGGCTTGTCTCAATTTTGCTAAGAAACATCTCAATGATTGCCAAGACTTTTGGGAAAAGACCTTGTGGACTGATGAGACAAAAGTTGAACTTTTTGGAAGGCAAATGTCTCGTTACATCTGGCGTAGAAGTAGCACAGCATTTCAGACAAAGAACATCATACCAACAGTAAAACATGGTGGTGGTAGTGTGATGGTCTGGGGTTGTGTTGCTGCTTCAGGAACTGGAAGGCTTGCTGTGATAAATGGAACCATGAATTCTACTGTCTACCAAAACATCCTGAAGGAGAATGTCCGGCCATCTGTTCATCAACTAAAGCTGAAGCCATCTTGGGTGCTGCAGCAGGACAATGACCCAAAACACACCAGCAAATCCACCTCTGAATGGCTGAAGAACAACAAAATGAAGACTTTGGAGTGGCCTAGTCAAAGTCCTGACCTGAATCCTATTGAGATGCCATGGCATGACCTTAAAAGGGCGGTTCATGCTAGAAAACCCTCAAATGAAGCTGAATTACAACAATTCTGCAAAGATGAGTGGGCCAAAATTCCTCCAGAGCGCTGTAAAAGACTCGTAGCAAGTTATCGCAAACGCTTGATTGCAGTTATTGCTGCTAAGGGAGGCCCAACCAGTTATTAGGTTCACGGGGCAATTACTTTTTCACACAGGCCAATGTAGGTTTGGATTTTGTTCTCTCCCTAAATAATAAAAACCATCATTTCAAAACTGCATTTTGTGTTCACTTATGTTATCTTTGAGTAACGGTTAAATGTGTTTGATGATCAGAAACATTTTGTGTGACAAACGTGCAAAAGAATAAGAAATCAGGAAGGGGGCAAATAGTTTTTCACACCACTGTTTATCTTATGAACATTGTGTCTGAGTGTAGATAATGATTCACTTGTTAAACCAAACATCGATCATAACATCAAAATGTTTCGTTGTAATATTAAAAGTCATTTCAACCTTATTAACTTAGGCACAGATTAATCAAAACATTTCATTTAACCATATTGTTCATTTCATGATTAACTCATATGAGCTGTAAGTGTTCACTTTATTCAGAGACATGAGGAATCCTGTAGAAGCGATGAGGGAAGCTTAGGCCTTGGAACGGGAACAGTTTGTTGACAACATGTTATCGTGTGTTCAGAGCTGCAGAACCTTCTGGGCTTGTTGGAAGACAGAATGTAAAATCCACCTTAGAGGATGGAATTAATGTCTGCAGATGACCGGTAGCATGTAGGTCAATCTGTAGGTGAAAACTGACCATTTCAGGACGTTACACAAGTGCGTCAAATTATTCTTCATCTGTTGAGCAGGAAGGAGTTTGTGGATGCTTACGTGAATCACGCCTTCAACACATCTGTGGGAAACGTGTTTAAAGAGTTCACGCGAGGTTTCTTCCACGTCTGTGATCGGGATTTGGTGAGACTTTTCAGGCCGAGGGAACTGCAGGAAATCCTGGTGGGGAAGGACTTCCACGACTGGGAGAGGCTGAAACGGGTAAGCTCTCTTCCTCTGAAAGTCAACAGCAGCGTCCTGAGGGGATCGATGCCGTTCTGATTCCAGGCTCGTCTCTCATTCTAGAACACAGTGTACGAGGGGGAGTACCACGCCGATCACCCCAACATCCAAATGTTTTGGGAAGTTTTCGATGCGCTGACTGAGAACCAGAAGAAAGCTTTCCTTTGTGAGTATGGAGTTATGTACATGAAAAAATACTTTCCACTCCCTCCTGTCAAAGTGTATTACACTGCCATCTTGTGTCCGGGTTGGGGTTACTGTTACTCCCGTGACACGTTTTAATTTCTGTCCTCAGAACAATGTACTCAGCTTCTTACGTTCAAACTAAAAGAGTATTAAAATTACTTTGTCAAAGTTAGGAAAAAACATCAAAATCAGCCTTCAGGATGCAGAAATGATTATTTTTTTCTTGTAGAAAGCATTATTGGTGTTACAAAGATATTTAGAAACCTCAAACAACCCTGCATGTGGAATAGTGGTGCTAACAAGAGTTATGTGCTCGCCCTGTAATCGGTAGGCTGCAGGTTCGAGCCCCGCTCAGGCTGTCGTTGTGTCCTTGGGCAAGACACTTAACCCACCTTTCCTGCTGGGGGTGTTTGAGGGGAGCGGTGGCGCCGGTGTACGGCAGACTCACCTCTGTCCGTGCACTCCAGGGCAGCTGTGGCTACAGTGTAGCTCATCACCACCAGGATGAATGACTAATTGTGTTGTAAAGCGCCTTGGGGGTTCCAGGACTCCAGAAGGTGCTTTATCAAATGCACCAGGCCATTTACACAGAAAACGAAGAAGAAAATATCATTTCTATAGCGCCTCTCAAGATAAAAATCACGAGGCGCTTCACAAAAACAAAAATTGTAAAAATATAAAAAAGCATTTAGAAAATGTTGAAAATATATTAAAATGAGTGAAAAATAGACGATTGTGATTAAAAAAATGTTAAGAAAGAGAGAGAGTGAACAGGAAAGAGGGAAATCAGTGGATCCTGAGGAAGGTGGAATAGGTGGGGAGAGCAGAATAAAGAGAGAGAGGTGAAGAAGGTCATACAAAAGCCAGCTTGAACAAGTGAGTCTTCAGCTGCTTTTTAAAGGAGACCACTGAGTCCACTGATCTCAGGCTCAGGGGGAGAGAGTTCCAGAGTCTGGGGGCCACAGCAGCAGATGATCTGTCACCTTTGACCTTTAGCCTGGTGCTGCACAACCAGTAGGCTTTGGTCACTGGACCTCAGGGACCTGTTGGGGGTGTAGGGACTAAGAAGATCACCAATGTAAGATGGTGCTTGTCCATGTAAGGCCCTATAGTCCAGAACCAGGATCTTGAAATGAACCCTGAAGTTGACTGGCAGCCAGTGATGCTGGAGGAGAAGCGGGGTGATGTGGGTGTGTTTGGAATCGGATTATTACAGATACCGTGAGTGAATGCAAAAGGATCTTGGTAAGCATCATTATGAAAGTTGAACCAAACTAATATTTGCATGATTTTGTCGGCTTTGGTTTCTGTGTGTTTAAAATCTACGCCATCCTCCAAATGTTTCTTCAGGTGAGGAAGTGAAAATGACCATTTCTAAACATGGTGCTGAGTAACGTGTCCGTAGAGACAGACGCTTGCTGAAAACCTGCTTTACCTCCCGCAGGGTTTGTGTCGGGGTTTGAACAAGTTCCTGTTCTCGGCTTGGACAACATTAAGATGACCATCAAAGTTAAACACACGGAGAACCTCTCCAACGACCAGTTTTATCCCGAGTCACACACGTGCTTCTCTCACCTGGAGCTGCCGTTGTACTCGACCAGAGAGATCATGCAGAGCAAGCTGACTGAAGCGCTGAGCAACAACAGAATAATTAATACTCTGGTCTGATGAGGAACCATAGGAGCTAATCTGGTCTGATGAGGAACCATAGGAGCTAATCTGACAAGTCACATTGGTGTAAATAAAACAGTCTTATTAAAAAGAACAAAGCTGCTAAAAGAAACACTGTTTCTGTACAGGAAGCTTTTTATTTTCACTGGAATGATCATTTTGTTATTACTAATGAGTATATTAGAATTCTGGTTTGTACAGATCTGTCTGCAAATGTAAACAACTCAGATTTCTATTCCAGGTGATTCAAGGGTTTTAGAAGAAAGGCTTTTAGGTCTTTGTGGTTTTAACCCTCCTATTCACCTTGGGGTCAGTTTGACCCCTTTCAATGTTTATCACTCAAAATTAATAGTTGCCTTTGTTTAATTTGCTTCATATTTCATGACTTTTCTTAATTTGATGGGGACAATGGATTCAGCATAATTCAAGTTTATTCTAGTTTATTTATATAGCACCAAACCACGACGAGAGTCGTCTCAAGGACCTTCACATAATAAACATTCCAATACAGGTCAGTTCATTAAGCCAATCAGAAAAAAGTTTCCTATGTAAGGAACCCAGCAAATTGCATCGAGTCACTGACTAGTGTCAAAGTCTTTACAGCAATCCGCGTATTAAGCAAGCATGTAGCGACAGTGGAGAGGAAAACTTCCTTTTAACAGGAAGAACCCTCCAGAGGATCCTGGCTCAGTATAAGCAGCCATCCTCCACGACTCACTGGATAAAACTCTGTGTGTGTGTGTGTGTGTGTGTGTGTGTGTGTGTGTGTGTGTGTGTGTGTGTGTGTGTGTGTGTGTGTGTGTGTGTGTGTGTGTGTGTGTGTGTGTAGAACTGCTCGATGTTCTGCCTGATGTTCTCATTATGATTTTCTTTTTCTGAGATGGGTGAACTTTTTTAAACGTAATCCCCCAACGCACCAAAAACAAACATAAATAAATAAAATAGTTGACATTGTTGACGCTCAGAGACTGTTTTTGTTAATGGATTTTGTGTGTTTTTTAAGATAAAACAAGCTAAAATACTATTCTGTTTATTGGAAGCTGGGCTTTTTTAAATGTGTTAGAATACGGCATAATGTGAGAATTCTTTGTTTGCTGTGCTTGAAACAACAAAACATGATTTAAAATCATATTATTGATTTATTTTGTTTCTCGTTTTGATCCAGTTCTTTAAAACCTCTCACATACATAGAAAAACATTTGCTAAAATCTAAAAGCATAAAGGCTGAACACATTTGTTCATGCGAGGCTAACAGATATAAATAATGAAAACGCTCATTAGATCGTCTGAACTGTACAAACAGTGAAAATAGCGACATGACTTGCAAAAATAAAGTTTTTAGGTCATTTTTTTCTAAACATTTGTGATAACGTAATTTTCTTGTGGAAAGGTCTTGCTGCATCTGCACGGTGTCACGTCAGTTTACTTTCTGCTGTTTTGTTAGAAGAAAATTCATCTTAATGTAACTTTATATTTTTCATTGTGCTCCTCTTGTCATTTTGATGTTGAATTTCTCGTTTTTATTCAAGAACTTGCCTTTTAATCCGGATTTGTGCTGTTACAATAATGTGAATTTCACTGGAAAGGGACAAATAAAGGCTTAATAGTTAAGTTTTTTTTCTTCCCTTGTCTGGGAACTTTTTGGGATCTTCCAGGAGCTGGAAGTGCCCGAGGATCACGGATGAACGGATTACATGAATACAACCTCTCACAGCTCTGATACCCATGGGCACTCTTGGGCAGAAGTAGCTCAGGAGGTACAGCGGGTTGTCCGGTAATTGGAGGGTTGTGAAATCGATCCTGGCTCCTGCCAGGGAAGGCTGCTGTTGTGTCCTTGGGCAAGACACTTAACCAACCTTGCCTGCTGGTGTTGGTCGGAGGGACCGGTGGTGCCTGTGCTGGGCAGCCTCACCTCTGTCAGTGTGCCCCAGGGCAGCTGTGGCTGCGATGTAGCTCATCACCGCCAGGGTGTGAATGTGTGAATGGCAGACATGAATTCTTGAATGCACTTCATCAAATACAGGCTATTTAACGTTTTTACAGTTTTTCATCCATTCGTGTGCTGTTATAAAGAAGTCCTTCACTGAAAAAACATTTTTCCCTTATTATTTTTGAAAATGATTGATCTCATGCAGGCTGAACATGAAAATAGTCTCCTACACCTATCTCCTGCAGTAGCTTCTGATAGAAAACAGACGGTAAAACTCTAGGATAGAAAATCCTGACAGATCTACGTCACACTGCCACTAACATTCATGGACTCACCCATCTTGACTCACGACGGGGAAGGCTGTTGTTAGTTTAGCGTCCAGGAAACAGCAGAGAACCTCTCGGCTAGTAGAAGCTGCCCGTTAGCTTTAGCAACGCCACCACACAGCAGAACTCCTCCAGGCTTGTGTTATTTGTGGAGATAAAACATCAACGTTGCAGAGCAACCAGAGTCAGTGGTAGAGTCGTGTTGCTGTCAGCCAATCAGAGACGAGATGTCCATATTTCAAGAAGTAAGACTCCAAATCCTGCTGCCTGAAGCTACTTTCTCCTCCAGCTGAATTCTCCATGCTGCAACGGGCACACCAGAGCTTTTTTTCCTCAGAGTATGACCTACAAGGAATTAATTTCTACTACAGACCAAAGTAAATGTATTAAAATATGAGTGAAAGACCTCTTCAAACACTAAAAAGCTTTTATGAAACAATTTATGGAGGCGCAGTTGTTAGCACTGTTGCAAGAAGGTTGCAGGTTCGAAACTCGGCTGTGGCCTTTCTGCGTGGAGTTGCGTGTTTCCTCCGGATACTTCGGTTCCCCCCACAGATCACAACATGCCTTATAGGTAAAAAATTGTATGTTGCTTTGGATAAATATAATAATATGATATAATCAAATCTATTTAGATGTTTATTTATCTCTAAACCCATGGTTTCTTATTGGGGGTCGGATTCAGGTGGATTTAGATTTTTTTTTTTTTTACATTTCTGCTTTCTCGTCAATATTCTGTGAGAAATAATGAAAAAAAAATTCTTGGTAAAATTGATGACCTTGTCAGAAATAATGTTACATATCCTCCTGAGATACGATGATTAAATATCTTGTAATTCTTTTTCTACAATATTTATTTATGGTTGCCTTGGGCCTGATGTTCAGGGACACTTTGTTTTATTTAATTTATTGGTAAATATTTGACTGAAGAAAAGGATTTAGACATGTTTGTTAACATTTATTAAACGTACATTTTTATACGTGAAATTAAAATTAAAACCCAGACTAAACAAAAGCTCTGGTCTCAAAAGCAGTGGCGGATCTAGGATTTTTCTGAGTGAGGGGCCACAGGATTGATTGACATCCTTGCACACTTCCTGCCAGTGGCGGTTTTACCATTAGGCATAGGTCGGCGGCCGCCTGGGGCCCCCTTATGTTGGGGGTCCCCCTAGCCCTGACTGCTGGCACCCCTCTGTTAATGCCACAATGGACCATTTCTTTAAGATGCCGATGCACAAACAGGAAGTGATTGGTAGTCATTCCAGTCCAATTCAGTTGGTGGCGGTAATGCACCAAATTGTTGTTTGCCAAGTGTCATAAGACCACAAATAAGAAGAAGAAGAGAAAGCAGAAAAAGGAGAAGAGAGGCGGGAGCGTTTGTAACAAACTCGAAGCGGTAGTCAAAACATTTAGCACGAAATGGAGTAATCCTAGTGGCTCTAATAAGAGAAAGAAGCAGCTCGCTTTAAAAAAGCTTTTATCTTCACTTCTGAAAGTGACGTTGTTTTTCAATGTAAACATCAAAAGGAAGCAGAAAAGGAAAGACAATAGAAAATGTGTAAAGGGAGAAAAACATAGACCAGTGAAGGTGCCAGGGGGGCGCTATAGCTACCCCTGGATTAGTCATAGCACCCCCAAGTAAATATCAGATTGTATTTTATTTTTTTACAATTTAATTTTAATTTAACGTGTGGATGTGATCATATTTAACATACAAAACAAAAATAATCAGTAAATTATCATATGGATAGTAAAAACTTAAACCAAAACAGGAAATTGATGTTAACCTTTGACCTCATTTTCCACCTGTGAACGAGTGAAAGGTAGAGCTAGTGGTAAGATGGATCGTGTTTGTTGCCCACATTTCCACGGGTTCAGTCAGAAACGAATGAATCTTTGGAAGTGATCTCAGACCCACAAAAACCTACGCATCTGGATGAAGAGAGTCAACCCTCAACCGCCGCAGCAGTCCAGGGTTTTGCCGCTGGACATGCTAACGCTAACATTAGCTAACCTTGCAACACTATAGATGGTTTTCTGTGTGGCTGTATGTGTTTATGATTTCATGGAAAAGTCAGCGATTGTTCATATGTTTGTGATGTATATTAATGATTGTTTCAGGTGTTGTTGAGGTTTTGTGCACGCATGTGTATCTGCTAGTGTTGAAGGTGTTTTAGAGAGCAATAGGTACGCATGACCACTTCCTTCATAGCACCCTCAATAAAAAGACTAGCTCCTTCATAGCACCTGCGGAAAAACATTTCTGGAGCCGCCACTGACATAGACCAAAATGGAAAATAGAGAAAAAAAAAAAAAAGGCAAAAGCACAGGAGAAGAAAGCAGAGCAAATATTGAAAGCGCTCAAAAGGAAAGAAAGACAGGAAAAAAGAGGAGGACTAATAAAAAGGGAAAATAACTCGTGTCAGAAGAGGGGAGAGTTTCGCAAATCCAGTTAAAGATAAGATAATTGAAAATTTATTGTAAGGGGGCCCCATGTCTGTGTTCGCCTTGGGCCCCCAAATTGCTAAATCCGCCACTGATTCCTGCTGAGTCAGCATGGTAACCGTTTCTAGTTTCACTTTAGGTTTCCTTCTCTGTGGAGGGCGTGTAGGTTTTGTTTTCTTTTCTCTCAGCTGCTTGAGTAAAGTTTCGTTTCAGCCGAGATTAAAGCAGGCTGTGAACTCCTCCGAGGAGCAGACATGTTCTCATGGGGAGAGGACTACCGGAGCAGCTTCCGCCTGAAAAAAGGCTCAGGCGTCCAGAGTTCTGGTGGAGTCCAGCTTCTCGACCTGAGCTTCCAGGTCCAGGTCCTGTCAGTGGGTCTCAATGTGCTCGGGTTCGTCAAACCCACAGGAGAGGCGTTTATAATCCGCACTAACCAGAGCGAAGAGGGGAGGAGAACCAACGGGAAGCAGAGTGAGCTTTAATACTCTTATTTATCAGGAATAATGATGATTCTTCATGTCACCTTTTCGTCTGTGTGTCTGCAGAGTTTATAAAGGAGGAGATCCGGGCGTTGAGCTGTGGTGATGATGTGGTAACCATGGTAACCAATAGAGGAGAGATCTTCTGTGTGGACTCGAACATCTCTCCTTTTGCTCCCAGGTGAGGAGAAATATTCAGCTGGTGTTTTTCATCCTTTCAAAATAAAAGATTTGAGATGTTTCCCGCTCTTTCAGCTGTCCTGTGGCTTTCTCACACCTAACTGTAACTCAAGTAGCCTGTGGGAAGCAGCACAGCCTGGCCATGACTAAAGGTACTGATCACCTTTTATATCATACAGCTGCTGATTTTGGACTTTTAACCCTTTAAAGCTGGAAATATTGAAAAATGAATCAAATCTATTGTTTAATTGAAGTATTATTGTATTAATTAATTTCAGCCAGTTTGATGCTTAATTTAATGTAAACGAGCTTCAGACTTTCATCTTTCTACGTCCTTACAGATGGTCAGGTGTACACATGGGGTCTGGACTCCAGGGGCCAGCTGGGCCTTGGGGAGAGAAACTCTGGGGCCGGTTCCCCCCAGCACCTCCGATCCCTGTCCTCCATCCCCGTGGTTCGGATTTCTGCAGGAGGAGATCAGAGCTTCGTCCTCTCTGTGTCGGGAGGCGTGTTCGGCTGGGGCAGGAACGACCGTGGACAGCTGGGGCTGGGAGACACAGCAGGTGATCTGATGACATCATCTTCATTTTCTCATGGATGAATCATCTTCTGAGTCACTGCTCCTCTGTCATTAATGATTTCTGTACGCAGACAGACACACCCCAGCTGCTGTTGAGCACCTGAACAGGAAGACAGCTGTTCGTGTTTCCTGTGGAGAGGAGCACACGGCAGTCTTGACAAAGGTGGGTCAACAAAACTCAAATGGCTTCTGAGACGATTTTATAAAAATGGAGGCAGATGGGTTAAGAGCCCGTCCCATAACGAAGGGTTGCAGGTACGAGCCCCTCCTGCCTGTGGTGATCAGTGTGCCCCAGGGCAGCTGTAGCTGTAACGCAGCTCATCACCTGCAGCGTGTGAATGGGTGCATGACAGTTTGTACTGTAAAGTACTTTGGGGGGTTGTAGAGGCGCTATGTCAAACACAGGCTGTTTACCATGAATGGATTTCAGATGATTTTATTGTCATCAACTTGAAATTTTAATTTATGTTTGTCTAATTTTATTTTATAGTACCTTCTGTTTGAGTAAATTGACCCTGAATTATAATTACTATGATTGTTGTACTCTGTCCTGCATTTCTTTTTTCCAACACAGGTTTTAAAAATAAGTTACACTTTTTAACGTTGAAAAAAAACTTGGAAAAATCTTCTGTTAGTTTCAAGCTCCCGTCTCTAAATGTTAACGGGACATTATGGAAGTGTGACAGCCAAAACATGTATAGAAATAATAAATGTCTTCTTCATACATTCTCCTGCAATGCCCTGGTCCTGTAGAATGAGCCCTGGCATTTTTACTGTGATTGCCTGTTTTTCTGTAAAATCACAGAAAAAAAGAGATGCTCGGGTCGAGCAGGCTGCTTCATGCGCGTTCACGCTCAGGCATCGCCCGTAGCATTTGCTATCCGTAGCTTTAGCAGCAGAGAGAGAGGCAGTGCCACTTTGTCGCTGTTCCTAACGCCTAGTGACAAAGCTAGCTACATTTCTGAGGACCCTTAGCTACTTTCTGTAGAACTTTCTTCTAGATATTTCCTGCAAATTAGCAACAAAATAGCCATTTTCACTCCGAACCGTTCTTTGAACGTTGTTTCAGCTGTCATCAAGGATATAAAAGTTACAGAGACAAAGGACATCACTGGCGCTTTAGCTCGCCTTGTAAGATGTCGGACTCTCGTGCAGATGACCTGGGTTCAATTCTGGATGTGAACATAGTTTATTTAGAGTTTATTTTTTACATTAATGGTATTTTTTTTTTACAGTAAGATGCCCAAATTTTTATTTGAGACTCGCCGAACGGCATTGAATTCACAGATAAAAAAGATGTGGGTTCAACTTTCATTTTGGAACAATTTTTCAAGCAAGGGAAGGGAATGATCTGAGCATGCAGGAGGACTGACCCATCATAAACCTTTGTCGGCTGTGCTGAAGAGAAAGGTACAGAACCAAATTATTTAATTAATTAGCTGCACACACACACACACACAGAGCTGACTGTCTCAGCTGTTATTTTCGTTAAGGAGTGTGCACGTACAGCATGCGCGCCTCGTGCACGAGCCTACTATTGAAGCTGCCGTTACGCTTTTGGCCTGAGGGGGCGATCACGAGCATAAAAATTCAAAAGTCCGTAAAGTCCCTTTAAAGAGCAGAAGATAAAGATGTTTAACACGACACACAAACTCTTGGTGCTTGTTTCCTTCTGCTTGTTTAAACGTTTTAATAAAAAAGAATTATGATGTGTTTTCCATCAATTATTTTTCTATTCATGCTGAAAACCCAATCATTTCAGATAACGTCTCTCAGAATCAACCTGTTGGAAGTTGTAGGACTATTTACCGGTTTATAGTTGATTACACAGCTATGAACTTAACACAAATAAGAAGTTAGTGGACCTTTTTTCCAGGGTGGTGCGGTGTTTACCTTTGGCTCTGGTCGCTATGGACAGCTCGGACACAACTCCTCTCAGGACGAACTGCGTCCTCGGCTCGTTGCTGAGCTCTGGGGGGCAAAGGTCACTGAAATTGCATGTGGACGGTACCATAAACACACATTGTCATCATGAACTGTTACAAAAGTCCTTATTTTAAAGATTTCTCTCTGCCTGACCAGGTTTCACACGTTGGTGCGGACGGACTCCATGAAGGTTTATTCGTTCGGTCGTAACGATCAGCAGCAGCTGGGACGTGGAGAGGACAGTCCGCCGTCCGTCCCGCTACCCGTCCCACTTCAACAACTGTGTAATTACTCTCATGCTTTTATTCTGAAGGAATGGAACCAGGACTACTGAAGAAAACTGGGTCTTTGTTATATTTTCATGGAGTTTTATGGCAGTTTCACATCTGGGCTAGCACGATCCGGGCTGGGTGGCGACTGTCTGGGTCCTGCACAGGTAGGGTTTGTTCACACACACTTCTCAGGAACGGGGAAACCTCTGGGCACGTGGGAGGGGCAAAAGACGTGCAGAAAAAGTCTGCGGTGTCTCCCTTAAGCGGCGTCCGTGCAGCTCACCGCATGGCAGCTCTGTGTGTGTGTGTGTGTGTGTGTGTGCGTGCGCGCTCCTCACAGCAGTGAGAAGGAGAGACAGAGAGCTGCAGATTCAGTGAGAGGTGATGTTTATTTCTCAGTATCTGGAATGATAATGAATCCAACACGCTGGTTGATTCTATCAGCCAATCAGAGGCTCCCCTAGTGGTGGGCGTGGAGTGGGTGTGTTGGACCAGTTCAGCCCGAAGCAGACCGCCGTGATATGTGGGCTGCCTGGTCCGGTCCGTGCTGGCCCGGATATGAAATGGCCTTTATTGTTAAGATGTTTGAAAAGGAATAAAATATAATAATAATAACCTCATTTATTAAGGGCCTCAAAGTGAAGAATGTTATACGTAAAATAACTTTATTTTTCTGCACCAAGAACAAAGCTAGTGAGGGTTATTGAATGTTTGAATTGTTTATTTATAAAACCTCCAAGGCGGCGTACATAATGCAGACACATAAAATACTGTAAAAGACACTTTATGGTCAAATAAAAGCAAAAAACATTTAAAAAAGTTTCATTATTCTAAGCAATAAGACCAATGAGCAAAAAAAAAAAAAAAAAAAAAACAGCACAAAAACATTATGTCACAATTCGGTGTTGGTTGGACCCAAAATGCAGGAACCCAAGATGACACGAGGCAGGAGATGATGTAAAGTAAAATCCTTTTATTAGGATGAGTGAAACAAAAATATGTCCAGAAGGGCTGGAGCCAAAAAACCAATAAATCCAAAGAGCTGAGCAGGAGATCAAAACAGTAGAGACAACACGAGCAGACTGACAGAATTACCACAATGGATCGACACCAGACAATGACAAGACAGGGCTTAAATAAACAGGGAGGAGTAATTAAGGGAACAGGAAACAGGTGTGTGGAGTGAGGGCTGGAGGGAAGACAGGTGACAACAATCATCTAAATGGGGAAGCAGAACCAAAGGAGGGCAGATAAACACAAAACTGAACTAAAAGACTGAGGGAAGGAGTCACACACACACACACACACACAATCACACCTAAATACACTCACACACTGAATTGAGGAATGGACATGCACACACACACATACATACACTCACACACACTGAGTTGGGGAATGGACACGCACACACATACATACACATACATACACTCACACACACTGAGTTGGGGAATGGACACGCACACACCCACAAACACAGAGCTGGGGACAAAGAGGCTGGAGCTACAACTGGAGGGGATGGGGATGACCGAATGCCTACAAACAGAAAACACATTGAGACGCAGACAAAGGACACATGAGGGCGCTATGAGACACAAAAGGGAATCTAGATAGGGATGGAGGACACCAGGAGGCACATGAAGGAAAGGGCAGACGCAGACCATGACTTAACTGTCATGTTCTGTGTCCTTGTAGTCCCCAGGCCCCTTTGTTCCCCTTTATTAGATCTCCCCTTTAAGTTCTTGTTTTAGGTTTATGAACTCCCTATCCTTAGTATTGCATGTTCAGAGTAGTTTAGTCTTCCCCTTTCAGTACTCGTATTTTCCTTCCCCCCTTGTTAATTAGTCTCCCTTGCCATTCCATGTATTTAGTTCTGTCACTCCTTAGGTCATTAGTGATTTATCTTTGGTTTCCCTCTGCCCTTATTTTTCTGTTAGGTTTATTTAGTCTCACAGGTTACGGTTCATCCCCTCCTCTGCTTTGTTTTGCCCTTCCCATTTAGTTTATTGATTTCACCGGTCTCCCCCCAGTTCTCTTTCCCCACGCACCTGCTCCTTGTCTCCTAATCACCCAGCCCCTGTGTTTATAACCCTGTCTGCGTCTCAGTGGTTTTTTAGTCCATTGTCTCTTGTCAGCGTTGATTTGTCCCCCTCGTGAAACACTGGGTTTGTGCTCATAAGAGCTTTTGTTTTTGGCTTCCTGAGTTTTAGTTTTCAGCCCTTTTTGAGTTCGTGCTGCAACCTAAATAAAATAACTTTACCTTTTTACAACCGCTCCTGCCTCGAGTTGTTCTGGGTTTTTCTGCATCTTGGGTCCAAACCCCCCCTGCTCTCAACGTGACAGTTAACAAAAACTAAACTAAACAAAACATTAATAAAACTATTAAGATTATTATAGAATATTGGGGTTTTGAAACGTAATAATATAAAAACTATTCATGCTAATTAAGTAGAACTTTATTCAAGCATCTCCACATTTTTCAGATTTTATTTTTAGGTTAGTATTTTTTTAAGTTGCGTCAGTGGGATGTGGTTATATTTATATGTCGACGGTGGCGACTAACACGTCTTACACCAAGCCAGTTAAGGGGTTAAAAGGAAAGTAAATGTGAGGTTTTCGGGGTTGTGCAGAATCATTCTGATCAGTCAGAGCGATCTTCGGATCAGGGAGAAATTCTGTAACGGGCTGTGGCGGATCTCACAATTCTCCTTAAAAATGCACAAATTTTAAATCTCAGTTTAAACTTTGACAGGTTAATTGGAAGCCGTAAGGCCTTTGTGTTTTTTAAACGTAGTCTCTTTTCTTGTTAACGTTTCCTCTCATTTGTCACCATGACAGCTAATCCTGCTATTTGTTCCCTGACTAATCAGCTGTAGCTCATCGTTCTACCCAACTATAGTCGATACAAAGGATAAAACTGAGCGTCTACCACCGTCTACGTTTTCTTTATTACGCAAGATCAGAAAAACTAATCAGCAAGCAACCGGAGTGCAGAAATGGGCTCCTACAGACTTATTTCTCCCTGACTCCCCAAATGGAGTTCACTCTGACTGCTGTCTACAGGTCAGACTAATCATAAGTACTCCACAACTCCACTTTAGAAATCCCAACCACACCTTTCAATTCAATTCAAAGATACTTTATTAATCCCAGAGGGAAATTACAGTTTCAGTACACACAATTCAGAGATCAGACATACATGGGCAAGACACATGAGAAGAATTGGTGACTGTGGACATTCGCAACCCCGAGTCGCGCTACCTTAATAGAGATAAGAGGGTTACATGAGGATTGGTTCAGGTGGAGGGAAAAATAGGCACTTCAGAGTTACCCTCCACCAGGAAGGCAGCTTTGCTCTGCAAAAACACACCTCAGACAGACATGCAACAGACTTCAGACATCACAACATAAGTGTCCACTAGGTGGGGTGGTAGGGTTTGGGGACTCTCCACACGTCAGTGGCTGCAGCCACAATACGCAGCGCACATCACCTCAGTCTGGACAGGGGAAGGAGGTTGTTGAGTTTTGGAGGGCACAGTGACTCCTGGAACGATTCGGCGGCCTTCACAGCCCGCAGTCTCGTCCAGACTGGGATAGGAGGCAGAGTTGAGTTGCCATAGCGACAGCAGCATTCCACATATCTTCTTAGGGGGGAGTATTCTATGGTGTTTAAAGCGTGCCACAACCCGTGCACGCGCATTGGGTCCACAGCGCGCGTGTGAACGGGACTCGCGAGCGGAAATATACATGGCGAGAGGTCATTTGTGCACTGAGAGGGAGCAAACTGTGTCTGTGAGCGCACAAGGATGTGCACAAGTGACAAACCTGCGTGCGCGTTGTCAACGAGCACACGGCAGAGGAAAACGTGCGCGCGCGGCAGCCTCTGTGCGCGCTCGGCAGCCTCTCTGCGCGCTCGGTTTCTGACTCCTGCTCGCTCGGCTGTAAGGGTTTTGGCACTCTGGAGGCGTGGCCTGTGGCAGATCTCCTCTGTCCTCTGATTGGTTAGTGTACCCCGCACTTTACCCTCTACCTATCTATATAAAAAAGTCTGCTAGTCAAGTAGTCGCTGGCATAGCTCAGTTGGAAGAGCGGGTGACTTTCGCCCCGGAGGATCCAGGTTCGAGGCCGGGCAAGGAAAATGCAGTAGATGTTATGTTAATTTTTCTTAATTTCAGGTATTTTACAGTTGTGACCGTTCAACTGTCATTAAACGTCCGAATGTTTGCTGGGCAGTGTTTTAAAAAGTGCACATAAGCTAGATGGTTTTAACCATATAAAATTACATTTTTTGTGATACTGGAAAAATACATACTGAAATAAAACTACTGATTGAAAACTTTATGACTGTGGTTGTACAATATATGACTCACTAATACACTGCAAACTCCCTTAGAGTGGGGCTTCCAGAGAGAGAGAGAGAGAGAGAGAGAGAGAGAGAGAGAGAGAGAGAGACAGAGAGAGAGACAGAGAGAGAAAAGTTCTTGCCTCATTAATGAATTGTTTATTTTTTTCAGTATTTAATTGACAAATTATCCTTTCAAATAATTAATTGATGAGTTACATAATTGTCCATTTAGAATTGTTGAATGGACTGAGTCAAGTTTGGTGCACTTTATATATTTCAAAACATGTTTTTTTTTTATTTTAATGATGCATATAAATAATTTAAATGTTAATTTAATGAAATATTTCTATTTTTTCATTACCTCACCCTTGTTTTGACAAAAACGGGACCTTGCTGGATAATATCATGGAGAAACTATTTGTTCACAGTACATGGCTCCGTAAGGATCTGTGTAAAGGAGGAGATACTCAGAAATCTGTCTGCAGATTGTTACAACCCAGACTGGAAGTGGTGGGCTGTAATAAGAAAGGAGACCAAACAGAGGAGTGGGGGTTCAACAACTGATTTATTTAACAAAAGTAAGGATTTACTAAAGCAAGTTAGTGAACAGAAAATGGCCAGTGAGGACTCTCCACCACACAGGAGAGACCCAGTGAAAGCAGAAAAACAGTAGGCTTTGTAGGCAGCACCACACCCTGAGCCCAGGTGCCTCCAAGGTTGCTTAACCAGCTGCCTACAACAGAAGAAAAACACAATTAAACACAAATGAAAACCCAATGAGACGGTGGGGGCATCACAACACGTTCAGGACTACCCAAACACCAGTAATTCTTGACTGCACTGATCTGAGGTGTCAATGGCCATATTCCCCTCTCTTCCAGAGTCATATATTTTCCTCAAGTTCAACTGCACTCTGAAGAGGCTCATTTGGATTGTGCCACATAGGCCAGTGACCTTTGTCTCAGCACTGTATGCTGGAACTATCAGCGACCAACCTGGGAATCTGGTGTGTTGAAAATGCTACAACTAGAGATGGTCATCATGGTAGACAGGGGTTTCTTCATTGATGACATTGTGCCCTGCAAAGTGTACAGGCCAGCTTTCCTTTCTGGCAAACCTCAAATGTCTGCATGTAAAGTTATAGAAACAGAAGCCATAACATCTCTGAGTGCATGTGGAGCGCTCCATTCATCTGGTCCAAGAACACAAGCATTTTGATTGTTATTCCCCTCCTTGCATTTGTAAACAATCAGCTATATGCTGTGGTTTTTCTCCTTACCAACTTTTAAAATAGCCCACTAGTGAAGGCCTGGGCAAAGAAGCCTGATGTCTGAGAACCTCAACATATGTACGGCAACCACACTGTATATTTACACACTTTCATAAAGAAACTGCATATCAAGCTTTCATTCAGATGACCTTCAACAGTGCTGCACCCTGCTGAGGGACATCCGAGTAAAACCTTGAGATGGCCATTTTCTGTTCACTAACTTGCTTTAGTAAATCCTTACTTTGGTTAAATAAATCAGTTGTTGAACCCCCCCACTCCTCTGTTTGGTCTCCTTTCTTATTACAGCCCACCACTTCCAGTCTGGGTTGTAACAATCTGCAGACAGATTTCTGAGTATCTCCTCCTTCGGTACACAGATCCTCACTGAGCCATGTACTGTGAACAAATAGTTTCTCCATGATATTATCCAGCAAGGTCCCGTTTTTGTCAAAACAAGGGTGAGGTAATGAAAAAATAGAAATATTTCATTAAATTAACATTTAAATTATTTATATGCATCATTAAAATAAAAAAAAAACATGTTTTGAAATATATAAAGTGCACCAAACTTGACTCAGTCCATTCAACAATTCTAAATGGACAATTATGTAACTCATCAATTAATTATTTGAAAGGATAATTTGTCAATTAAATACTGAAAAAAATAAACAATTCATTAATGAGGCAAGAACTTTTCTCTCTCTCTCTCTCTCTCTCTCTCTCTCTCTCTCTCTCTCTCTCTCTCTCTCTCTCTCTCTCTCTCTCTCTCTCTGTCTCTCTCTCTCTCTCTCTCTCTCTCTCTCTCTCTCTCTCTCTCTGGAAGCCCCACTCTAAGGGAGTTTGCAGTGTATTAGTGAGTCATATATTGTACAACCACAGTCATAAAGTTTTCAATCAGTAGTTTTATTTCAGTATGTATTTTTCCAGTATCACAAAAAATGTAATTTTATATGGTTAAAACCATCTAGCTTATGTGCACTTTTTAAAACACTGCCCAGCAAACATTCGGACGTTTAATGACAGTTGAACGGTCACAACTGTAAAATACCTGAAATTAAGAAAAATTAACATGACATCTACTGCATTTTCCTTGCCCGGCCTCGAACCTGGATCCTCCGGGGCGAGAGTCACCCGCTCTTCCAACTGAGCTATGCCGGCGACTACTTGACTAGCAGACTTTTTTATATAGATAGGTAGAGGGTAAAGTGCGGGGTACACTAACCAATCAGAGGACAGAGAAGATCTGCCACAGGCCACGCCTCCAGAGTGCCAAAACCCTTACAGCCGAGCGAGCAGGAGTCAGAAACCGAGCGCGCAGAGAGGCTGCCGAGCGCGCACAGAGGCTGCCGCGCGCGCACGTTTTCCTCTGCCGTGTGCTCGTTGACAACGCGCGCACGCAGGTTTGTCACTTGTGCACATCCTTGTGCGCTCACAGACACAGTTTGCTCCCTCTCAGTGCACAAATGACCTCTCGCCATGTATATTTCCGCTCGCGAGTCCCGTTCACACGCGCGCTGCCATGTATATTTTCGCTCGCGAGTCCCGTTCACACGCGCGCTGTGGACCCAATGCGCGTGCACGGGTTGTGGCACGCATTAAACGCGATAGTATTCGTTGCAGCCTTACAGGCTCAAGGGCACCAGATTCAGATTAGAAATTGTTTTGGGGCCAGACAGAGATAATTTCCTCTCTGTCTTAAAGTTCCGCTGGTCCTCAACCTCTCAAAATCCCAATAATGGTGTAAATCAATCTATCCCAATCCGTGCTGATTCGTCCACTCGCTCCTTGATGGCATCCATCTTTTGTGTCAATGCATGAATCTCAGCCAAAGTCCCAAGCTTAAGACTCATCTCGACAATTATGTGAGTCTGTGAATTCACAGCGCGGTGTAATCCATCCCTGAGCTCCGGGAGAACACCAGTATTCCTCGACAGCTCGTTAATTTTCCGGTAAGCCAGGAAGCCTCCTAGGCCAAAGAGCAGGAAACCTGACACCCAACACCACGAATATCCAGACGTATAAGAACAGATCAGGGAGCCCCTTCTCCCGTTCTCATCGTTGAAAAAAATTTATCAATTGCGTTGAGTGACCAGCTGACCAGGTCCATTTTTAATAATTTCCAGTTTCCAGAAAAAATGCAGAAGCAGCCGTGCACCCAAAGACAGACAAAGAGCCTTGAGGATAAGATAGGGAGGAGAGGAGGAAAAAAGCGTCTGTACTCTCCAAGAGCCGGAAGTAGCTTCCTAGTAAAGTCTCATCTTGGATTATTTCTCCACAGGTGCCACAAGCGGTCTTGTGATTGAGAACATCTTTGCTGGAGGAGACAGCTCCTTTGCGACGTGCGTGCATAAAAAGGTACCTGCACGAATACATGAGATGGACGTGCCCTGGTATTTTTGTAACCAATGGTGCATAAACCCTCCCTCCTCCCAGGATCTTTGCAGAAGGTTAAAGAACGACGAGACACCGCCGTCCGTTGAAAACATGGTGGATACATGGATCTCTGGATGTGATTCAAAACTGCTGAAAAAGATCAAAAAGTCAGTTTCAGCTCTGAGATATGAATGTAATATTTATTTTGGCGCCACCACTGTTAATGGCACGTTTTATTAAATCACTCAGGGAAATCCATGAAACATTTTCCTCTGCGTCGTGTATGAACCGAAGCTTCCTCAGTCAAAGGTATTCAGGTGCTCTCGTCTCTTATTCACACCAGTTTCTACTTTAGATTTCATTTTCATTCTCTTCTAGTAAGGACAAACATTTCCAAACGTCTCCAGACTATCCCGGTTTGGACTTCTCGCTCGCTCAAAGTGTTTTTAAGAAACTGCTGAAGAAGGAAGTTCTTTCGACTGAGGTATTAAAATAAAAGGTGGAGAATCCGAGTAGGAAGGATGGTTTCTGTAATGTTTCTGCTGCCGTTTCACCAGGTTCAAGCTGCTGTCGTGCAGCTGCTTCCTGCTCTGGATGGCAACCCGGTTGGTGTGGAGGGGCTGAGGGTCTTCCTGGTCCTGAATGAGCTGCTTCATGTGATTCAGAAACTCAAAAAACAACCAAACACCAGACTTGCGGAAGAGGTCGCTGCTGCTGTGCAGAAACTCTCCCCTGAAAACCTTCAGATTATCGGTACTGAGAGTCACAACATGTTGGAACTAACTATAACTTCACTAGAGCTGCAGCATCATCCGCCGAGTTTTACTGATGCAACTTGCAGGCAGGAAGCAGGAGCTGCAGTACTGGGCTGAATGGCCCAGTACTGCAGCTCCTGCTTCCTGTCATTGCTGGGTTTCAAATGTGGTTGAATAATTTTGCCCAACAAATATGGCTGCCAAAGTGTTCCCAGAGTCTTTGAGGAAAACAACCTTCAGAGACATCTTTGGGAGGGATTAAGTATAAATGCATGCTTCCAAGTAGTCATTCACTGTAATTTTACTACCGTAATTTCCGGACTATAGAGCGCACCTCAATATAAACCGCACATACTAAGTTTAAAAAAAAAACATGGAACTGTACTTATATAAGCCGCACCGGGCTAAAAGCCGCAGATATCAACTGAATTGGAAACGTAGTTTAACTGAACGTAACTGAACAGGCAAAACAGAAAAGTTATTGATTAGTTTATTCATCGTCCTCCTGCGCACTGAAACCACTGAAGTCCTCATCTTCAGTGTCGGAGCTGAACAGCCTCAGAAGAGCTTCGTCACATACCTTTTCTGTGGCGATGTCAGTGTCGCTGTCCGTGTTGCTGTCATCATTCCCGGGTGAAGCTGGCTTGAATGAGTTCTTCCCGCTGCCGTCTCCAGCGCCGAACCATGGATTCATTCATGCCAAGCTTACGTGCGGCAGCACTGTTTCCCTCCTTCACTGCCAGATCGATGGCCTTCAACTTAAATGCGGCATCATATGAACTCATACGTGTAGTTACCATGATGAAGGGGTTTGGATTTGAAAAAGATTCTTCGTCGTGCCGGCTGCTTGCATGTGCTAAATTAAAATGAGCACTTTCTTCCATTTCCACTTTTGACTTCCACCTGTTTCACGTTCTGCTGAAGCGCCCCCTAGTGGCAGGTGAAGGAAAATCGCCAGTAAAGCCGCACCTCATTATAAGCTGCACGGTTCAAAGCGTGGGGAAAAAATAGCGGCTTATAGTCCGGAAAATACGGTAAATTATTCATGTTTGGGTCAACAAGTTGCGGCCCGTATCGTGACATACTAACTTTGTCCAATCAGAAATCCACTTTTATATGGAAATTGTAGTTTTTCTGTTTTTCAGGACCGTGACCGTTCATTTTTCCGAGGTGGTTTGATCGTCGTGTTTAAATGTGAGGATGTGCTGCATCTCCATTATCCTCAGTATGAACTAATGAGGGTTTCCTCCTCAGGGAGCTGGTGGGCCTCCCTACCCTCTGCTGTTATGATTCGACACGTGAAGGCATGGAGGTCGGCGCTCTCTGTGGTTCTGCATATCTGGCCAGTTCCTCGGCGCTCCATCAGAAACATGCTGCTGGTCCTCAGGGACATGTACAACGTGAGCATCAAGCACGTCACGATCTACAACAAAACACCTTTTCTATTTACTCAGCCTTCGTGTTGTTATCCGTCTGTGAAGGCCTGCAAGAAGAAAATTCCTGAAAAGACTTTTTATGTGGAGATGGACCAAATAATTCTCCAAGAGGACCTGCAGCTTTGGCGTGCAGCGTCCAAAACCAAGGTGAGAAATAATAAAAATATGAATTTTGATGATATTAAACTACTCCTTGGTTGTTTTATTTTGAAGTCTTCAAATATTCAAAATGTATCTACACAGGACGGGAATCCTCCACCTCTCATTCTCTGTGACTTCCGGTTTGTTTTGGATCTGAAGTTAAAGAAACTCATTTTTGACAACAACTCTTTAATAACTCAGGTAAACAAATGAAGCACAAGCTGATCATCTGCAGCCAGGACAGAGGTTGGGACAAGAAGTCTAAAAGTTAATTTACTGGCCTTTTAGTTTTATTTATCTTTAAATTAGGAGTTTTATTACATGGCTGTGATGATCTCTGATGTAAAAACGCCGTATTTTGAGTCTAAAGTTGCTCTTTTTAAACACTTTTCTGTTAGAGCTGCATAAAAATGATTGGAAAAAGGAAATTTTACGCTCTTAAGTACAGATACTTTCCTTTTTGGTCTGTTTTTCTTTATGACTGATTTACCGGTAGTTATTTTTAGATGACCTGGTTTATCTATTTCTTTTTTTGTTAATGTTTTCATAATTCTTCACATTTTAAAGCTCCAAATCAGAACCTGAATGTTTTAATCACATATTTTTTAGATAGTTAAACTAATTCCTGCATTTTAAACATTTTTAATGATACTTCAACCTGCTTTCAGGTAATTCTGCTTCTGAAGAGAAATTATAAATATCACTGATATGAAAATTAAATGTATTAGAACTGCAGAGATTTTAAAGAGCAAGTCACCCCCTAACAGAGTATTACTCCGCTCCCACTTCCTGCAAATGCAACAAATGCTGTTGCCTACCAGACCGAGAGGGCGGAGCTGCTAACAAATACACACACACACACACACACACACACACACACACACACATACACAGGCTCACAACGACATTGTGAGTAGGGATGGGTACCTTTGACATTTGAATCGATCTGGTACTAATTCCCGGTACCTAGGAATCGATGCCGGTACTTAACGGTACCAATTTTAGATACTTTTGAGTGTTTAATATTTTAATTCTCTTTTATAATTAAATATATATTTTTCTCAGTATATAACCATATTTGATAAATATCACGATAAATAACATACAACTGTTTGTATTTTAACATCGTCCTTGTAGTTTTATAAGCTGATAATTAAACTGAGGCAAACGTCTTTACTGTGAACTAAATTTACTGTGTATCTTCATTCCTTTTGCCATCCTTTTTCATTTGATTTTTCCTACTGGGAAGTTAGAATTTCTGAGGAGAAAGCGAACGCACCATTAGCTGATAACAATGGTGGCAGTGGAAGCTAACATATCAAGCTAACGTTATCTTAAACAGTTTATTTAGCTGCTGGAGCAGATTAAAACGATGATGCCTCACACTTAGATCGTTGTCGCTGGTTTCATCTTCACCCAATCACCCGTCGCATTTAGTAAAGTGAAGCCAAACTTTAGAGCGCGTTCATGTTCTTCTAGTCAGAAATTCAGAGTTGCGAGGAGAAAGCGAACGCACCATCAGCAGAACGGAAGCTAACAAATCAAGCTAACATTATTTTAAACATTTTATTTACCTACCGGAGCAGATTAAGATAAGGATGTCTCACTTAGATCGTTGTCGCTGGTTTCATCATCACCCAGTTACCCATCACATTTAGTGAAGTGGACCCAAGCGTTGGCGTGCATTCTTTCTACCATGCTGCTCTGTTCACAACTGGCTCGCAGCGACCAACGACATTACGCTCTTGCGCATGCGTAGCTGTCTAGGTAAGTTCTCGTTATGAAGGACGGGTACCGAAACGAGGCACCGTTTCAAATGACGTGAATCGGTGCTCAGTCGGTACTATGGAATTCAGTCGCTACCTTAAAAAGTACCGAATTCGGTACCCATCGCTAATTGTGACATCATAATGTACCATCTAATGTCATTGTGTACCTCTTAGCCAATAGCGATGGCAGATTTAAATTCAAATGCAGAGTTTTTACCTGACAACGGCACAACACTGACAGTTTTAGGTAGAAAATTTAAATGTTAACAAAAATGCACTAAAGTGCAAAACTATTGACGACACGTGTCCGCAGCACGATTAGACACGCGTTTAAATAGTTTATCAGAAAAAAAGTTGATTTGGGGGTGACTTGCTCTTTAAGTGTTTATGCAGAAAAAAAGGACAGAAAATCTCAGCTAGAGCTATAATCTGAAGAGCCACATGTGGCCCTGGATCCGCAGGTTGCAGCATCAGACAGCTGCTTCACTGACGACTAAAATCCTGATGCTGCTGAATTCATCCTAAAATCTCATTTTAATTGTGTTTTTAACCTCAGAGAGAACATCAGACACCACAACAGATGGGTTTTTACCTGAGATGGATTCCTCAAGCCGGTCCAGATTATTTCTGCCTGAATGTGAAGCGCGCTTCACTTCTGGAGGACTCCTTCCTACAGCTGGCCGCTGCTCCTCTCTCCGATCTGAGGAAACCTCTTGTTGTGAGTTTTTCTGGCTCCATCCTCGCTGTTAAAACTCAACCAGACGCTCGTCCTCTCAGCTTCTGTTATGTTAAACTTCTCAGGTCCATTTTGATGAAGACTCAAAGGTCACGGACGTCTACAAGAGAGACTTTTTCCACCACCTGTTTCTCCGCATCGTGTCGGATAAACCGGAGATGTTTATGTTCAACGACTCAGAAACACTCGTGTGGTTCTCCTCTGAGGTTTGTTCTGCTGACCGTAGCCACCTACTGCTCCTGGAGGGTTTGTTGTTAATGCTGTTGTTCCCACAGGCCTCCGAGGAGAACGTGGTGAACTTATATCTGTTTGGGGTTCTGTGTGGGTTGGCTTTGTACAACAACAGCATCGTACACATGTCCTTCCCGCTGGTTCTGTTCAAGAAGCTGCTCGATGTGGAGCCCACGCTGGAGGATATGATCGAGTTCAGCGAGGCTGTCGGAGGGTGAGAAGCTGCTTAAATTCAGCTGGGATGGATTTTAACTTCTGCATGGTTCCATGGCTTATTATTTCATTTTCTTTCAGGTCTCTGAAGTACATCCTGGACTATGAAGACGATGACCTTGAAGACCAGGACTTCACCTTTAAGGTTTACATAAGAATCAGTCACATTCTGGGAGTTCTGCTGGCTTTACTGAGACCGTTTTATTTACTTTTAGATCCACTGGGATGGGATGGATGTTGACCTCGATCCTCAGGATCCCCAGAAAGCCGTCACATCCCAGAATAAGTAAGAACGGTCACTTCGATAGCAGCCGTCAGGTCCTTTGGTGGGTCTAGATAGATAGATAGATAGATAGATAGATAGATAGATAGATAGATAGATAGATAGATAGATAGATAGATAGATAGATAGATAGATAGATAGATAGATAGATAGATAGATAGATAGATAGATAGATAGATAGATAGATAGATAGATAGATAGATGGATGGATGGATGGATGGATGGATGGATGGATGGATGGATGGACGGACGGACGGACGGACGGACGGACGGACGGACGGACGGACGGACATATGATAGATAGATAGATAGATAGATAGATAGATAGATAGATAGATAGATAGATAGATAGATAGATAGATAGATAGATAGATAGATAGATAGATAGATAGATAGACAGACGGACGGACACATGGTATATAGATGGATAGACAGATGGATGGACGGATAGATAGATAGATAGATAGATAGATAGATAGATAGATAGATAGATAGATAGATAGATAGATAGATAGATAGATAGATAGATAGATAGATAGATGATAGATAGAGGGACGGACGGACGGACGGACATATGGATGGATGGATGGATGGATGGATAAAAAGTCACTGTCTGCAGAGTTTCGCTTCATCTTGAGCTGCTGGTGGATTCAAAGCATTTCTTTGCCAAACAGGAAGCAGTTCATAGACGCCTACGTGAATTACGCCTTCAACACATCCGTAGAGAAGGTGTTTCAGGAGTTCCAACGAGGCTTCTTCCAGGTGTGTGACCAGCGTCTGCTGAAGCTATTTCATCCCCACGAGCTGCAGGGAATGCTGGTGGGAGAAGCCGTCTACGACTGGGAAGTCCTCAGACAGGTACACCCCGTAAGGCAGCATCCCGTTTCCTCACATCCATCCATAAATATCCTCACATCTGCTTCACTTTTCTCAGAACACTCGGTACGGGTGGGACTGCCCTCTGACACATCCAACCATACAGATGTTCTGGGAAGTTTTTGATGAGCTAAATGAAGAAAAGAGGAAAGATTTTCTTTGTGAGTTTGATTTTTCCTACTTCAGCAAACACAACTACACGTTAGAAACGATGCTAAATGAGCCAACTGCTGAGGTTTAATCATCTTGGACAATGAAAATCTGATTCATGATTGTGTCATCAGCCTTTTGTAAAAATGAATCCCTTCAGGCTGCGGAGTGCTCTCTTCAGACAGAGCTGGAAAGATAAATTGTTGAGTTTTTCCAAACAGCTGATGTCACTAGGTGACTGGAATCAAACCACGACCGTAAAGGGTCGGGTCTTTGAGAAGAAAAACGGCAGAGAAACGTTGGTTTTCATCTCTGATTCCTAAATAATATACGAAAATAGTTTCTCAGTGAAGGAAATCTGCAGAAAACGTGTTTGTCCATCCCCGGTTTTCCTGATTCCAGTTCTTCTGCGTCTCTTTTCAGGGTTCCTGACTGGCTTCCGGAGGGCTCCCGTCCTCGGACTGAAGCAGATACAGATGGAAATTCAAGTCACACAAATCCAGAGCGGCTCTCCTGATCAGCATTTCCCCGAGTCGCTGACATGTCACTCGACTCTGCTGCTGCCGTTATACTCGACTAAAGAGGTGATGAGAGACAGGCTGACGGAGGCCCTGAAACCAGAGAGAGGATTTATGAGGGCGGAGCGGGATCCGGATCCGGGATCATCTGTTATTCTAACTCAGGAGCAATACTAACAGATCTGTAAATACCGACAAGCACGTTAAAAGATGCTAAACGGTTGTTGTTATTTTACATTATATGTTTATAATTTACCTTCAAGGCTGCTGAGGGAAAATGTGTGAGGTTATGATGATCAGATGAATAAAATGAAAGCGTAAATGTCAGGTGCTTCTTTTTCTGTGAGGCGTCTACACGGGAAAAGACCAGACTTTGGCTTCACTCAGATGTCTTTGACCAGTTTCAGGATCATCATAAAGGTCAGCATCAGCATCAGGTGAAAACCTTTAAATACAAAACAACGTTTTATCACACAAACAAAATCAACAGATAACAAATTAAAAAGCGTTCTCAATCTCTACTTCTGCAGCTTTTTAGGGCGAGCGTTGGTCCTCTCTCACCAAACGAGGCCCATAATGCCTCTCTGATCAGGTTCTTTGCCTCCTTTAACCTGAGCTCACATTCTTTCTCAGTCTTCTCGAGGTCAGCTCTTTGCTGGTCGCTCAACTCTTCTGTGCCTCCATCTTCACACTCTGCAGTGTAAGCAGCCTCGAGCTCCTCATTCATATGCAACACTTTGGAGTTCTCTACTGTGAGCTCCTTGAAGGCATCCTGTAGCTCCTCTGTAGACATTTCCTTGTGGGTCCTTGTTACCTGATTGGCGAGTCTGGAGAAAAGTCTTTGCTGTGGGTCGCTCGCCCCTCAGTTCCTCAATTGACTGACTCAGCCATGTTGCTTTGGTTGTTGTTGTTGGGTTGACAGACGGCGCCCGGATGGAGTCTTCTCCCTCTTTGTGGTGGACTTTGGTGGAGTTTTCACTGGTCAAGTGCTTCTTTTTCTGTGAGGCGTCTACACTGGAAAAGACCAGACGTTGGCTTCACTCAGATGTCTTTATTTGACCTGTTTCAGGATCATCATAAAAGGTCATGTTTTGGTTCCAGGTCTGTGGATTTGAAAATGACTTTACAGAAAAAACGTATGAAGAGAGACAGAACAACAAGAAACGAGAATGAAGAGTGAGGAAACAAGCCACTAGGTGGCGCCATTGTTCCGTCTGGTCACGGTGAGAGGAACAAAGAGCATCAGGGACGAGATGAGATCATCCTTCAGGCTGATGCAGCTTTTGTCTAACAGTCCTGTAGCTCCTCTGTAGACATGTGGGTCCTTGTTACTTGATTGGCGAGTCTGGAGAAAAGCCTTTTTGCTGCGGTTCGTTCTCCCCTCAGATAAATGATAAATGACCCGCACTCGTATAGCACCCCTCAGAGTAAGAACTCCAAAGTGCTTTACACTACAGTGTATCATTCACCCATTCACACACACATTCACACGCTGATGGTGATGAGCTACGATGTAGCCACAGCTGCCCTGGGGTGCACTGACAGAGGCGAGGCTGCCGAGCACTGGCGCCACCGGTCCCTCCGACCACCACCAGCAGGCAAGGAGGGTTAAGTGTCTTGCCCAAGGACACAACAGCAGAATTCTCAGTCCGGAGCCGGGATCGAACCTGCAACCTTCCGATTACTGGACAACCTGCTCAACCTGTTGAGCTGCTGCTGCCCCCAAAACCTCAAATCTTTTACATAAACCATAAATCAGCAGAAGGGTGAAAACATTCAGATCTATTGGCCAAGTAAAATTACATTTACAAGGAATTTGGCTCGGTAGATGTTCGCTCTCTAAAACATACAACAACATAATAAATGAGAATAAAAATACCTAAAAACACATAAGAACATGTATACCCACACACACGTTATTTACACACACACATATATACATATAAACACACACACATGCACGCACGCACGCACACACACACACACACACACACACATCCATAAGCATACTGAATAAGTATTAAAAACTATAGTAAAAGGAAGGTAAAAGAATCTACAGATTCAGGAGAGAAATGGCTGAAGGAAAGAAACTGTTCTTGTGTCTGCTAGTGTTTGTGTACAGCGATCTATCGCGTCTGCCAGATGGGAGGAGATGGAAGAGAGTAGATACAGGATGTGTGGCATCTTGGACAATATTCTCTGCCTTTTTCCTGGTCCTGCTGATGTACAGTTCCTGGACAGAGGGCAGCTGGGCACCAATGGTTTTTCCTGCTGTTTTAATAATACGCTGTAGTCTGCATTTGTCCATTTTTGTGGCTGACCCAAACCAGACAGTGATGGATGAGCAAAGTATGGATTCGACTGCAGCAGTGTAGAAGATGATCAGCAGCTCTTGTGCTAGGCCGTACTTCCTTAGTTGCCGTAAGAAATGCATCCTCTGCTGAGCCTTTTTGACGATGGAGTTGATGTTTGTCTCCCACTTCAGATCCCAGGAAATGATAGTTCCCAAGAACTTGAATGAGTCCACCATTGACACTGGGCTGTTGGATATTGTGAGGGGGGGCAGCACTGTGGGAAGCTTCCTAAAATCCACGACCATCTCCACAGTCTTAAGGGTGTTAAGCTCAAGATTGTGCTGACTACACCAGACCACCAGCCTCTCAACCTCTCGCTGATAAGCAGACTCATCACCATCCCGGATGAGCCCAGTAACAGTGGTGTCATCTGCAAATTTCAGGATTTTTACAGCTGAGTTATTAGAGGTGCAGTCATTGGTGTACAATGAAAAGAGCAGTGGAGAAAGGACGCACCCCTGTGGTGCACCGGTGCTGATCAGCCTTGTGCCAGACGTAACATTGTTCAACCGCACATGCTGGCTCCTATTTGTCAGGAAGCTGGAAATCCACTGACACATGGCAGGGGAAACAGTGAGCTGAGAAAGCTTTGAGGTGAGGATTTCTGGTATAACGGTGTTAAAAGCAGAGCTAAAATCCACAAACAGTATCCTTGCGTAGGTCCTCGGTTGATCAAGATGTTCCAGGATGAAGGATTTAACACCATTAAACAAATACTCCACTTTTACAAGTTTGTGTTAATCATGAAAAGTAATTAGTCATTAAGTTGTTATGCCTCTGCTCTGTCAGTGCGCCCCAGGGCAGCTGTAGCTACACAGTAGCTCATCCCCACCGGCGTGTGGGTGTGAATGGAGTTGTAAAGCGCCTTGGGGGGTTGTAGAACCCTAAGAAGGCGCTATACAAATATAGGCTATTTACTATATGATATGAAAAATAAAACAAAAAACGTTACAGCAAACAGATGAAAACTACCTTATGATGACAAAGCCACAGAAAGATGAGAAGTGAAACGGTTAAATATATAGAATGCATGCAGCCTGTAAAACTCCCAGAAGCAAAGAAGCACACTGATGATAAAAATAATCACACGTGCGATTAGAATAACAAAGACGTGATAGACAAAAAAGAAACCATGCAAAACGGTGGGAAATTAAAGAAAATGGGTCAAAGGTCAATATCTGGTGCAAGCAAACCAGCAAAACTGACAAATGTAAACAAAAACCTAAATAAAAGGATCAATAAATAAGAATGTGTTTTAGAAGAGACATCGTTTCTGTAAATCCTTCGTGTAGAACAGCGTTTGTGTGAATCTGCGTGGTTCCGTTCCCATGCAGGTCGCAGCCAAACAAAACAAACAGTTACATAACGTCTTGGACATCTCGCTTCATTCAGTTATTTTCCTTTTCGTCTCCGCGCGCGCGCGCGCGCCGCCCCGGGGGCGAGCTGGAATGCATTGACGTCAGAACCACACGCACCTGCGCGCGCGCGCGGGTCCGCAGCTCGAGCCTCGGCGGAGCGGTCATGAGAAAAGTATGTCCAGAGTCGGAACCGCGGACATGGAGGAGCGCAGAGGAGGCGACCGGAGCGGCGGCTCGGCTCGGCTCTACGTCTGAGTCCTCCGGTGACGCGGAGCGTTGAGGCTCGGTGGGACCGAGAGAGACGCCGAACCGAACCGGGATATTTCCGCAACAATGGTAAGTTTAGCGGCTCCGCTGCTTTTCTGAAGCGGAGTGATGTTCCTGCGCCGCGTCGGTGCCGCGGTGCTCCAGCAGGACGGTGATGCGTGCCAAGTTGGGACTGCAGTTTAGGCCGAGCGGAGCACAGCTGGCCCGGTGTGAGTCCGTCCGCGGTTACCGGTTCGGACAAAACTAGTCAGAAATAATGATCTAAAAGAGGCCTGACCGTCCAACCGGGCCAGAAGAAGCTGGAGCTTCATGAGAACGATGCGCTGGATCAGAGCTGCAGGCGAAGAGTTGACCGTCCTGATTGTGGAGATTCCCATTCTCAAAGGGCAGGTGCGTCCGAAACCAGGTGGATAAAAGAGGAACGAACTAAAGAGGGACTCCAAACAACCTAATAATTTCTCATTTCTAATCTAATTTCCCTCTGGGATTAATAAAGTATTTTTGAATTGAATTGAACCTCCTTAAGAAACAAAACCACGAAGAGGTGAAAAAATCAAATAAAAGGGAGAGAACACAACAAAGTTTCAGAGGGTCGACTTTAAAAGATCAAACACAAAACAGCAAAACCCAGCTGGTGAAGACCAGGAGGCTAAATGATCACAGGAAATGACAAAAGAGGCTAAAAGGATCCGGAAACATTTAAAGTTGAGATATTTAACAAATCCTACCAGCAGCAAAACAGTTATGAGTGTAGCCCTGGACTATGAAGTTTAGGAGTAAAATGATGGCTTACAGGGGCGGATCTACAAGGGTGGCATAGGGTGGCAGTTGCCACCCTAAAAGAAAGCCTTGCTACCCCTGCTGCCACCCCAGCTGGCAGCTATAAATTCAAGAAAAATCAAAGTTTTTCAACTCTCAGGCTCATAAAGACCTATTTGCAGTCTGCTTTGGCAGAGAAAAGACTATGAAGCTAGGCTGTACTCAGCATTGAATCAAAATGGGCAAAATCTTTGGATCTTGATGTGTAAATTGTTTTGCTGAGCAACATGGAAACTGCCGCATTCAGCTGTCGTAGGAAGGATATAATTTTATTATGTGTTTTATTTTCGTGATGGGCCTTTAAGCTTATTAACCCTTTGGTGCATAATGGTCACTACAGTGGACAGGTACTCAAAATTGTTATTTATTTGTTTTTGCTATTAAGCACAGCTGTTGAAGACTTTATTGTATTTGAGCCCCTCCATTTGGACTTCAGTAAGTCAAGCCAACATATTTCATGTTCAGAATGCACGTGGTCCACTAAGGTGGACCTGTAATAAATTATTTGTAAATTATAAAATTTTACAAAAAATATTTGTTGAAATTTGTTTCATTCACACCTAAAGATGAATGAAAAAAATTGTTAAAAAATCATGGCTGAAGATTTCATAATTCATGCATCAAAGGGTTAAATGAGGACC